CCCCGCCCTCTCCCACAGCGGCTGGCCAACTCCAAGGCGCACACGTCGCGCTTCGTCAGCGCCAACCTGCCCTGCAACAAGTTCAAGAACCGCCTGGTGAACATCATGCCCTACGAGAGCACCCGTGTGTGCTTGCAGCCCATCCGGGGCGTGGAGGGCTCCGACTACATCAACGCCAGCTTCATCGACGGCTACAGGTCCCACGCCTGGGGCGCCCAGGGCCCCCCACAGCAGACCCCAGCCCTGCCCTGAAGAGGGCTGCGGTGTGGCCGGGTTCAGGTTGAAGAGACCGGGGTGGGGGGTCAGGTGGAGGGAGGCGCCAGCTGTGTGTTTAACTGATGGCTGCTGTCCGCCATGTGGCTCCCACCAGCCTGCCCTCAGGGCTCCCCACCACCACCACTTCAGTTGACGGAGGGACATTTGGCAGTATTGGGACATTTTCATGTCACAGTGGGAGTTGGGGTGAAGGGCCACTCGTGGGACTGAGGGGTGGAGCCCTGGGGTCGTGCTGGACATCCCACAAGGCCGACAGGAGCTCTAATGTGAGCGTCACGGAGATTGAGAAACTCCTGTCTAGGGAGGGGAAGTGAAGCACAGAGAACGGCCCGAGTTTAAAATGGATCTTGGCCTGGAAAATAAGTAGTTTAGTGGCCGGGGAGGGAAGTGCCAGAAGGCAGGAGTCATCCTGCAGCTTCCTCAAGGATGTGAGCTTCTCCCGAGGCTGGTGGATTTGCCTTGTGCCCAATGGGACTTCAGGGAGATAGCTGGTGCAATGGCAGCTATTATGGAGTCCCGGTGTGGCCCTGACCCATCGGGCCTTCCTGCTGGCCCTGGGCTCACACACCTCCCCTTGCAGGCAGCAGAAGGCCTACATCGCCACCCAGGGGCCGCTGGCGGAGACCACGGAGGACTTCTGGCGCATGCTGTGGGAAAACAACTCCACCATTGTTGTGATGCTGACCAGGCTGCGGGAGATGGGCCGGGTGAGCCGGGGCCGAGGAGGGCAGAGCTGGGGCTGGGCCAGGACTGAGACAAGCACTGACCACAGCCACCGCCCTCCGACAGGAGAAGTGTCACCAGTACTGGCCGGCTGAGCGCTCTGCCCGCTACCAGTACTTTGTGGTGGACCCGATGGCGGAGTACAACATGCCCCAGTACATCCTCCGCGAGTTCAAGGTCACGGACGCCCGGGTGAGTGAGGCTGGGGCGGGGCCGGGCCGGGCCACGTGTGATGACGAGCCGTGATGACAGGAAGGGCCCAAGTCGGCCTCGTGGGGGGCTAGCAGTGGCCATGGGGAGCACAGGTGGGTGGCAGGAGATCGAGCAAGACGACACTATGAACTCTGGGTGCAGCCTCGGGGAGGCTGAGGCAGGAAGATTGCAAGTTTGGCACCAGTCTGGGCAGCTTGTCTGGGAGTTTTAAAAATGCGCAAGGTGGGGGGCCATGGCCCGGTCCCTTCGGGGTTTGGTCCCCAGCACCCACACTCAGGAGGACACCAGTAGACGGACAGGGCTCACCGGTGGGCAGCAGAAGGCACGTTGGGCGGGATGGCAGGGTGGAGAGCAGCAGGGCGTGCCGAGGCCGCTGGCGCTGGAGGAGGGCGTTGTTTAGCCTGCGGGGGCCGAGTCCCGCCTGCGGACAGCAGGGCTGGCAGAAGGCCGGCAT